TGAGTCTCGCGTGGATCCACGTTTAGACACACGACGGATTAAACTAAGTACTGAATGCTAATCTTCTTTATCAATTTGTTCAAATTAAACCGAAAATAAAAATAAAAGTTCTCGAAGTAACTAGTCGAACTAGTCCCACTAATTCCAACTCGAACTTGGTAGCTTTTTTATATTTTATATAACGATTTCCCTGTTTGAAACAGGTCTCGTGTAGTAAACATGTATTTTGTTGTAATGAATCAAAATTCCATTCGTTAAAAGTCAATAAGTTACTCCTAAATACAAGTTTTAATAAAGACTAGAAATAATATTCAAAGAGGATGTTTATATCTTACTTTTCTTAAGGAAAACCGCTAAGAAATGTTATAACTAACGTTTGATACTGTGAAATATTTAGTAAACTTTGTATTATATAAATTTTACATAATATAACAAGGACACGCTTTTATATCCCTGAAGAGGTAGGCAAAGGTGCACATTACGGCACTTAACGCCATTGTACAATGTAAGACCCAGTTTTCACTATCAGTAATACTTTGTCCGACCCGGGAATCGAGCCCGTAACCCCCTGCTCGGCAGTCGCACTTGCGACCACTCGGACAACGAGACACTTTATAAATATATGTATCAGTAAACTGTTAGTTTAAATAATTATGCTTTTCAAATCAGACCGTGATTTTTTTTATCTATAACTTCGTACTAATTCTGTAACTTTTAAACACTATTAAATGTCAAGTACCTAATTAATTTCGATTTTATTCCTCACACATTATATTTATTATTTATTATTTATGTAGGTACACACATTTAACACAGAGGACAATACATATATAAAAACAGAGTACATAGGCCCCATATATTCCAACTGGAATTTCTTCCTGTGGGCCTGTGGCAGAAACAGAAATAACGACACTGAGACACATAGTGTGTTACACAAATAAGAAAAAAATTAAAATAAAAAAAAACAATAATACCGAAGAAACCAATGAACAATAAAACAAATTAATATAATACAATTATCTTTACCAATTATATTTAACAAACAAAAAATTTATCTTCCAGTTTCGGCGAAGGCACAACACAAAGACTGCCAATCGAGGCGAATGGAGACAGGGACCTGATTGACAGGCTCAGCAAGCTACCTATAGACAAACAACCATTTTGGTTCATCAACTGGCAAGCTCTAGAAGCGCATAGACAGAAACCACAGACTTACCCACAAAGACCTAACCCCTTCATAGACACAGTACCACTAAATTCTAATACATTCCCAACACCGCAACAATTTTTGACAACCACAGAACAAATTGTTAATAGATTTGGATCCACACCTAACTCCGGTCAATTCTCAGCTCAATCTAATTCGCAATTTAATTTCAACACCCAAACAAGTATTAAACCTATCGGTCAAATTACACCCCAAAGTCAAAGTCAAAATAATCCCAATCAAGTTCCGCCACCTCAAATCGTTCCGATATACCAAATTCACCCTTACGGTCAAAATCCTAATGGAGTAGGTCAATGGACTCCATCGGGTCAAAGTTTGCCAAATGTTTCTACTCCTGGCAATCTGAACAACCCAAATGTACCACAATTACCACTTAATCCTAACGTGCAAATTACTCCCACGGGTCAAAACAGTCAATTTAATTTCAATTCCAGTTCAAGTTCTACCACGGCGGTTAAAAATAAAAATGGCGCCGTAGAAACTACTCAGAATTATAAATGGAATTATTTTACTTCACACAATACTCATACGACACATTTTATTAAATATCCTGACTATTATGTTCAGACTAACCCTAATCCTAAGAGGACTGGAAGTGAAATCTATTAAATAAGTTAGTGTAAGAAAGAGATAGGTATATGTCTCTCAGTAGTCGCTTCGTTTGAACAATGTCATATATAATGGACAAAAAAAATACCGGCCGAATATAGAACCTCATTTTTGGAAGGTCGGTTTAAAATATGATTTGTCATAGTGATTGCCATATGGATTACTGAGTAACATCTCTCTATCTATTTTTAGTATTTGTAAGAAAAAAAACACGAATATTTAATTTAATAAAACATTTTTATTGACTTTTTTAAATAAATAAAACTTAATTACTAAGCGTATTCTTAAAACTAAAACTCATAAGAGCGAATATAAATAAAAATAATTAATAGTAAAATGCAAACAAATTGTTCATTTTATTTGACTCAAAAACCTTTCTACGAAGATTTTGTTTTTAAAAAAGTATAAATTATTGTACAAAAAATATCATAATAATTCAAATATCGAACGATATTTTATTGGTGTTGCCGTTGTAAAAAATTACGTCACACTAATGACTTTTCCTACAGATTTCTCTTTAAAAATCTAGATTTTTTGAAGGCTAGACTTTATAGACATCAAGGCACTACGGAGCTAAGTAAGCACAGCCTAAAATGTGTTTAACTAAATTGTGAAACCTTTAAGTAATTAAAAAAAAATAACTTAATAGTTACCAGTTACAAAAACACAGACACATTCGAATTAAGAATTAACAATTATCATTATTACAAACTAATCATTGCTTTCATTGAATAAAAAAAATAGGAATTAAAAAAAATTATTTGAAATTGGAACTTTTTTAGACCCACGTTTCAGACTTTTATCATTAGTTCTACTTTAATGCTGGCCACTAATAGACAACCATTTCAATGAAATGAATGACAAAATACGAAAAAAGAACCATTTACGTCAGCCAAACCAATTTTGAAATCTATTTCGTTAGACATAAGACTTAAAATAAATGCATCAATGGCATATTTTAAAATTACAGATTACATATTATTTCTATTTACTTTCAACGACATCACTATACCAAAGAAATAGAAGTCAAAATTGTTTGAACGAACTGTAAAAGCGTTTGGTAAAGTTTCCAATACTATGAACAGATTTTTATACCACATTACAATCACTACGTTTATTGTATACTATAGGAATATACATAATTATTATGTAAATGATATAAGTGAGCAATATAAGCTCCTCTTAAAACATACATGTACATATATGGACAAAAAGTCCCTCAATCAGGACTCAAGTAGATTTCTCAACTAAACCACAGAAGCTGCATTTTAAACCCTATTAGTATGGAGGTGAAGTTGAAAATTGATTACAAGCGCACCATTGTATTTTTTTCATAATATAAACAAAAATCACTTGGATTATTCCCTACGTTGTAAAAGTTTCATAAAATTACAAAAAGGACAATTGTAATTAACGATTACAGTACAGATAGCGACAAAAGACAATGAACATTCGAAGCTTTTAAAAAACTTATTTTTATTTTCTAAACAAAAATAAATTAGACAAATACAGAAAGGCTTATGTTCAAAAATTGAGATTATCCACATTGTAGTAGCAGTCTCAACATTTTCCCAAAGATCCCCAAACTGTTTACCAAATGTGGGGATTATGACGAAACCTCTTCCCTTTTAAATGCAAAGGCAATTAATTTACTTCAGCAGCAGTTTTACGGCTAACAAAGTTTATTTCATATAAAGATTTGTGACAATACAAAAAAAAAAATACGTTTAATCCACAATTCTGCCTGTCTTATCGCTATCTGCACATACATACAAACACACATAAGTACAATAATCACATAAACCACTCACTCAAGCTACCTAACTACCTCGTTATAAAAATATAACCGTCGATTATGAACCTTATTTCATTAGTACACCATAGTCGCACAACTTGAAAATTGTTAAAAATCATCCCCTAAATTTGTTCATACAAAAGTAGTCTCTAACTATTGGGAATAAGGTCTATAATGTAGTTAGTGGAGAGCGGTCAGTGACCGCTTGGGGATATACGGACTAGTCTTCAAACTTCGTATCAGCTTATATGTCACATCAATAACCGCTTAGCATGTCATTCAAAATGAACATTCGTAGAGTTAATAATTGTTTTGTTATATATACGAGATGTACGACGTTTTAAAAAAAAATAATCCATTCCATGACATAGCGCAACTTTGCTTGATTCAAATTAATAGTTGCGGGATCTGGTGACTCATTTGCCATCAACAATAAGGTAGTTTCCTAAATTTTATTTTAATGTCCGTCTGGTAGATTAATTTAAAACATTAGACACGTATTTTTTCTTTTCTTACAAAATTAAATACTTTCGACGATATATTAATTTGAAATATCGTGTGACGTCACAGCGTGTCACATTTTGTAGCACGTTATGACGTAACGACCTCCCAGTCATAAACTTAGCGCCATTTTATCTAAGTACATATTGCAACTTAATACGAGAAAATAAAAAAACACGTGTCTAATATTTTTTCGTTATCTAACTGACGGACTAATTAGATTTTTAATTTTGATACCCTGGAAACTACCAATACCAATTTGGTTGCGTTACCAAGTTGACACTATGTAATACACCCTCCCAGTCGCACGAATATAGTGTACAAATGAAATAGGACCCTAAAGCCCTTACAAAAGATACATAAAACAAAACTGTACATATTTTATATTCGCAAATTATGATACATAATTTGGCTGAATAATACTATTTTATTTGTCGGTCGAAAACATTTTTTAAAAGTAAAAATTATCAAAAAAAAAAAACGAAAAACAACGAATCATTGGCTCTGATTAGGGTGGGGACAGATTTGTGAGAATTTTTAATAAAGAAAGTGTATTTTGGTTGATGTCAAAATAATAAATGTATGGCTAGTTAGTGTTTTAACATTGAAATATTTCATAGCAAAGTCATAAACAGATATTTGTTTCAAAAATATTAAGGCACAGAGCATTTTAAGGCACTTTTAAATATTGCCAGAAGTCAAACTTTGAATAAATTAACTAACAATAAATAATCGATATTACTACAGAAATCGATTTGTGGTATTACAATCGATTTAATTTTCTCAATGTTGTTACGAAAAAGCACACGAATAAAGCCTTCCAGTTCTCTCAAATCTGTCCCCACCAACAAATAACATGGTCCTTTATTACCGTGCAACAACCAGTATTGTGCAAAGGGTTGCTATCGTCAACCAACTAAACCGACTGGTTTGTGAACCTGACGTTTTTGTAACCGACGGTAAATTCACGCTTTTATAGTGACAGGACTTCTCTGATGTTTCATTATCCGTTAATTCTGTGTAGTTCGGGTAGCTCTGTATTTGTATAGGCTGGAAAAGAAAGGTATTATTGTTTTAGGTTCTTTTAATATGTGATAGAGAAAAAGTGATTCTTTGATCTTGGCTTTTTAAATTCATATTCGATTAGGTGTATGGATATGGTTAAGAAAAAAGTGTGGGAGAGCCATGCTTCGGCACGAATGGGCCAGTTCGATCGGAGTGATACCACGGCCTCACAGGAAACCAACGTTAAGCAACGCTTGCGATGTCTTTCGTCGTGTAAGTGAGGTTACCGGAGTCCCAATTACTCCTTCCCCAATCTCCCCAATCCCTGAATCCCCAACAATCCTCAAACCCCTACTCTGCTAAAGGTCGGTAACGCACTTGTAACGCCTTTACTTCCAGGTGTCCATTGTCGACGCCGATTGCTTACCATCAAGTGATCCGTCTGCACGATTACCAGCTTATCCCACAAAAAATTGGCATCTATTGCGTTGCCAATTTCAAAATCAGCAACAAAAGTTGCTAATAACGTAAAAAAACGTTATATAAATTAATGGTGTAAACTTAATAAAAAAATTACGGGACAGTACGACAAAAATAAATACAACACTCACCACTCCTAGACTATCGTCCCTCTTCTTACAGAAGGTCATGTGCATGCCTTTGTAGAGCGTCTTCTCAATTTGTTCGGTTAACAGTGGCTCAGCCCACGGCATCTCGTTCAGGTGCGCCATGAACGACTTGTTGCGGAATTCCGGAGGCTCCCAGATCACCAGTTCCTCTGTAAAGTTGATGATAATTGGTTAGAATATAGCATTATGGCAGTAGTTCCTACCTTAATAGGAACTATATCCTGGCTTACCAGGGTATATCAGTAACATTGCTATAACTGATTTAAATTGTAAAAGGAATTTGCCGATTTAATATGTCTTAAAGGCTTTGCATATTAAAAATAAAATATGTTTCCAACTTTTAAATCATTCATTCGACGAATGGGACACATAGCTTCACTTTATAATCACATTCACACCATTAACTCGTCGAGTACCGGTTTTATAGACACAATTAAAGAACAATAGGTCGCGGTCACCGGTGACCGCTTGGTGTTTGACAGTTTAAGGCCAATTATGTTATTTGTGCCATATAGTACAGATTATAGTTTCATGAAATACTTTAGGCATTTTAAAATCGACAAACTCAATAATACCTGCTGAGCTCTGGCCTTTTTGCACCGTCTTCACTGTTTAATTTTTTGTCTGTTATTGTACTTTGTGATGGTGTGCCATGATAAACCATTTTCTTTCTCTTTCTTTCTTAAATTAAGACTTTTAGATAGCCATTCAACCAATGTGACCGAGAAAACCGTTGCCAAAATATCGTACTACTAAAAAGGTACAGTTACTCACTCATCAAGCCGACTCCTTGGTCATCTCCCTGAACTCCTTGCTCAGCGTTCGTGTCGTTCATCGCGTGCTTCGAGGCCTCAGCATCCGACAGCGGCAGCATTGGTAGGTTCTCGAAGGTTCTGTAATATTTGAATATGAATTTTCTGTATAGTTTTTTTTAAAGGGCGGAATACCAATGTCTCGCTGCTCCCGCCTGGGTGAGGCGGGAGGGAGTGTCAGACTCTTACTGATTAAAAACCACCCCGTTCCTACTACTGCCCTTCGAACCAGAGCCCCGGCAACGCGTTAAGTCCTCCGCGGCTCCGTATCGGCATCAGCCCTATTGGGCCGTGGTGGTTTGATGGCTCTTTGAGGCGGGCGCGGAACGCGACGCGCCATACGCTCGGGGTTTTCCGTATAGTAGGAATACATTTCAAGTAGATAGGTGTCATTACTATTTATCTACTTGCAAACTTAAGTAGAATTATCACAATTCGTGGATGCTCTGTACAAGACTTAAAATCTTAAAACTTGGAACGACAGAACTTTTCAATTTTATTGCAATTACGTCGACCTCCCCTCGCTATCAGGTTTAATTTTAGAATCCTTATTTTAGACTTAGGGCCTTCACAATATCTGTGCCTTTAGCCACTTTAGCGCTTGTTTACAGAGGGACTAGAAAACTAAACGTATGGGGATGACACTGACAAGTGTTAAAATTTACGTCAAATCGATATAACTATGTTTTCTATTCTACATGTAAAGCGCTAAATGGCATTTAGCTACAGCTGCTGGATAGCCGTTATCTACCAGATAAATTTGAATTAATAACGTAATTCGTATGAACTATCTGTCACATAAGTTCATCAGCAGCTGTAGCCAAATGCCATTTAGCGCTTGTCTACTTGTAGAATAGAAAACCAAATTATATGGAATTGATGTAAATTTTGACACTTGTCAGTGTCATTCCCATACATTTAGTTTTTTACTCTCTTTGTAGACAAGCGCTAAAGTGGCGTTTGGCTAAAGGCACAGGTACTGTATATGGAGGCAGTGAAACTGCCCCGCTATGTCAGGATAAAATAATATACATAATTATGTTTGCACACTATCAGTGTTTGTGTAACAATATTTTAAGACATCTATTACACTCACCCAGAAGAAAGGAAGATATTCTCGACCTGTGTAAAGCTCAGTCCATAGAAATGTTTAACTCCAAACGTTTCGAAGAATTCTTTAACAGGTGTCATCGAGTAGCAGCCAGCCAGGTCCGTTCTTGGATAGTATAGGATAAAGGATAGGCACATTTCCTGTAAAACATTCAAAAATGATTTTATTACTGGTACTAAGCAGTTAAAAACGTACCTTAATGCAAGGGGCATAAGACTGAATTATTTTCAAATAAAGATAGATAGTTAATTTATCAGATATTCGATTTTTCAATAATACACTTTAATGCAAGAGACATAACACAGAAATTAACTTAGCAATGAAATCTTACCTGTTTAGCGGAATATCCTCCCAATATAGGTTTATCCTTTGAAGTACTATCGTATGTGCATTCAGTGATCAAAGTGTCTCCTCTCATGAATTTCCTTCCACGAGGAACAATGCGAGACTGCTGGTAATGGGAGTCATATGAATTTTCCTGAAAAATAGTATAAAAATATTTTAGCGCCATCTACTATATTTCATCGGAATCATTTTATTTGAGCATAACGCTCAACGCCATCTATCCAAATTGCAACGAACTAGTTATACTTAACATAAAGTGCTAACGCCATCTAGTAAAAGCATGTCAAACTACTTGTAGTACACATTGCGGAAAATAGTAATCAATATAGAATGTAGATGGCGTTAACCACAAATGTAATTACCTCTGATATTCTTGGTAGTTCTTGATTGCCTCTGATATGTTTTAGAGAAATCTTCCTTGCTGTGCCATGAGCGTGGAGGAGAACTGACACAATGTTTACTCCTTCTTCAGGTAAAGTCTGCAAAAGTCAAAATTTTTGTTAGTCAAAAACACACTAAGTATGTAGGTAAGTTCGGCGTAATTCATTCTCTTATTTATTAATTGCAATACACAGTAGTATGTAGACATTTCTATTATAAAATATTTGACACTCAACAATCAACTTATACTATAAAGGAATGAAGTTGAACCTTTTGCAATAAACAATATTATTTTTATTGTAATTATTCTTCTATCCCACCACAGTACAAAAATCACCCTTACCACGGCCCGAATAAAACACATTATTCCTTGTAAATTACAAGTTGTAGAAAACTTACCGCTTGAGTACATTCAGTGCTGCATATTCCAACAGTTCTGTAGTGCTTCTGTTTGGGTGGAATCACGTGGAGGGCTGACACCCCAATACCGGCGCCGAGGAGTGCGGCATCATGTTGTCTTAGAGCTGATGTGTAGTGGACTCGGATACCTGAGCTGTCGAGGACTGTGGACAAATGACAGTGGTTGAAATAAAGAAGAGATTATTACAAAGAAAGTAACTCCTTACTCAATTTTAAGTTTAACTTAAATCTATCCTTACTTTCCTTACTTATATTATAAATCGGAAAGTGAGTTTGTTTGTTCGTTTATTTGTTCCGCCTTCACACCGTAATTACTAGAGCGATTGCTTTGAAATTTTGCAGACGTAAAGTTAGAAGACTGGATTAAATAATAGAGTACTTTTTATCCCGGAAAAAATGATATTTCCTAGGAAACACAAATATATTGGTATAGATGGCGCTGTATGTACTGGTATAGATGGCGTTGTATGTCATTTAAAACCAGTCAACGAATTACCTACTTATTGGAAAAATGTAAATAGCGCGATATAACCGAATTCCACGCGAGCGGAAAGCTATTTGTTTGTTTGCCTGTCTTAAACGGCAGAACGGAGGTACTAATTAACGTGATTTTTTAACTGAAGATAGTAAACGGATGGACAGTCACATAGGCTACTTTTTATCCTTTTATGACGCGAGAGAAGCCGCGGGTAAAAGCTAGTACTTAATAAAACTTTCGTTACACATACTAAATTAATTATTATGTCAAGTTCCTCGTCAAACAGTTACGTGAGTAAGCCGAAAACATAATAATTAATTTGTACTTAAATGTTGTTCTATCTCTGTCATATTCTAAAGAATTTGTAGAGACGAACTACTATTCTGTTCAATCCCAAGCGGTTACCGGCGACCGATCTCCTCTAACTCCTATCTTTCCGATGTCTAGAGACAACTTACTTTACTTTTGTATGAACAAATTTTGGAGATTTTCGGTACGACATATCGACGTATTCAAATAAGTAGCGACTGATATTATTTTTGACCATAAATGACTTAAAATATAATATAGTGTCGTCACTTTCAATCCATGAATGGGGTAGACAACACGGCTTTTTATCGACGTAGGCAAAAGTGTTTATGTTTTTATGGTATACCACGGCATATCATACGATACACATTTCTGGATGGTAAGCAATGTCTACAATGGATATCCACAACATTGAAAAAGTTATAAAGCCGTTGCATTTACTATGTAAGTACCTATTATGTAACACCACCTTCCCATCTACTGTATGTTAAAAATCCTATGTAAAAGAGGTTGATTCTATTAACAGATACTGAGCACAATCGACCAACGAATCGGAACCAAAACTTCATACTTGATAGTCACAATAGCAATAGTTAGAAGGCTGAGTACACCCAAAGCGCCAGTTTAAGTCAAAATAACATGTCATAACAACTGCAAAACTATATCACATACCTACTACTTCTCCTTACCCTCTATCAACAAAACAAACCGAATAGGTGCTCTAAATAAATCACAAAACAATAGCCATTATAATTTATGATTAATTAACTCACCATTATGCAGTTCCTGGTTATCATAATGAATCTCAAGCATGTAGTAGGAGACGCCCCCTTTCTCACCCAGCGGTATTCCGACGTTTTCAGGAAGGAATTCACCTGAAATAATTAAGCTAATTAATTTACTTCAAAATTAGGATGTTTATTAAGATTTTCTGGTTCATTATTTGTAAAGGATTTCGTTAAGATGAAGTCAAGGTGTTAATTTCAAAGTTACTGTTGAGAACAAAAAGGATTTGCTGAAGGATCTAAAGAGATTATTTGTATGAGTTTTGTTATGGAAATTATAAGGGATTTCTGGATATGTTGCGTTAAGCAGACACTTATTTGTCAAACAAGATATTACAAAATCTTTCGTATTATAATATTCTTTGTGATAAAATACACATTTGTTTAGATAGGCCTCATTACACGATACATATTTTTAAACAGAACGCGAAAGGAACGAAATTATAGTTTTTTTTTTAACATTGCCCCACACTAGGATTATCTCCTGTGTCGTGGTCCTCAGACCCGAAACAACAATTTGTGGGTCACACAAAGTGTTGTTCCGAGCGGGAATCAAACCCGCGACACGTTCCACGGCAGCCGGTTGCCCAGCCACCGCACCAACCGTGCAGTCAGTAAAGTAGTGGATACTGAAAATGCCTAATGTACTTCAATAATGCTCAAGATACATACCTCGAGACCCAATAGCCCAAGCCGCAATAGGAGTAGCACAGGTCGCCCAGGCACTCGGCCTATTAGGACCAAAGTACCCATCGCCTTCAGCCCAGGCATTCCATAGATGCCGGTCATCGTCATCGACGCACTCATAAAGGACCATGTGATGGACTGGCGACATACTGCTAGGATCTTGTACAGGAGTATTATTTCTGATAGGTCGGCTGTCAATCAGTGGTTCGTAGCCTATTATGTGGTGCTTCTTCGGTAGGTCAGGCACTTTGAAGATCTTGCACCAAAACAGGGTTGCCATTACGTAAGGGATTGTCAGCTGAAAAGAAAAAAAATGATAATAAATTGAATGGTAGATCATCATAGGCATCTTTAAAACCATTAATACTTCGTAAAATAAAGCACAAAAACATTGAATGACTATAACAGACCGCAATAATAGGAATCTACACTTTGGAATAAGCAACTAGCTTCACTTCTAAATTTTTGTTGTTGACATTCAAAAGTGCCATACTGGTCTAATTGAAATAAATGATTTTGACTTTGATAATATACTATTTGGAAAAGAAAATAACGATGTCTTTTGTGTCATTGATCTAATGAATGCAAGCACAGCTAAGCTTTGACGACCGAAATGAGCAAATTATAAAATTCTCAATTCAGAGTTTTGTCAGCCAATGTGGCCCTTTACATTTCTAGGCTTTACGCTCACAATATCACAACGTGTCACGATATATACATCCTTATCCTTACTAATATTATAAATGGGAAAGTAAGTTTGTTTATTTATTTGTTTGTTCCACTTTCACGCCGTAACTACTAAACCGATTGGTTTGAATTTTTGCAGATGTAAATTTTGAAGTCCGGGTTAAATAACAGGGTACTTTTTAACCCGGAAAAATTTGATTGAAATCATTAAACTGATACAATTATAGAGTCCGTCAATTCATCTTATCTCTATATAAAAAATAAACAAATAAATACTTACATTAGTCAACCTAACATCCCAATGATTAAGAGGTATAGATTCAGGTTTTGATACAGGCTGTAGAAGCCTCAACGGCCTGGCTCCACTCTTCACATGTTTCGGTAGCTGTCCATCCGAATCGTTCGGTCCCAGGGCCCAAAGGATTTGCGTTGTGTCATCCTGTTAAAAAAGTCCAAGTGAATAAAGTTAGGTTTAGTAAGTAGGTACTCGAGGCAAAGATTGAAAGATTTCTTCACACTTAAAGATAGCGATAAGCTTATTCAGTATAAGTGATCAGAAAGAATCGCATATTGTTACCCACTATACCAGAGGTGTTACAAGACCGTTCCCAGCCTTTTTTATGGTACCAGCTTACCACAAGCTTCCAAAAGTACTGAAAGTCCTATAAGCTATGATGTCTTTTTGTTTTAATGGGGGGAAAATCATCGAATGACTGCTCCCGCCTGGGAGAGGCGGGAGGGAGTGTCACTGACTGACTGACTAAAAACCACCGCGTTCCTTCTCCTGCACGTCGAGCCGGAGCCCCGGTTACCCGTTAGGTTCTCCGCGACTCCGAATCGTCATCGGCCCTGTTGGGCCCCATCAGTGGTGGTCTAGTGGCTCTTTGAGGCGCGCGCCGTACGCTCAGGTAAGCTATGATGACTAGCGCATCGTCTTGCAACGAAATAAATCAGAAGATGCCAGTAGAGGAGAAGAAAAGGAATACAAAATCTTAAAGGTAAAAGTCTTGCCCCTGCAAATATTATAGTTTGTGGTCGCACAAAAACTCAATGTCTGCTTACCCCAATAACAAAGTCCTGTTTGTCGCAAGTGTCAAGCTGTCTCCTAAACTCCACAGTAGTGTGTGTGTCATTCTGATACCCTGTTATCAGTTCGTAGTTCTTCACGTCGTCTGCAATCGCTCGGTCTTCGAATTCGGAGCCGTAACAATCCTGAAACAATATAAAATATTTGTTAGTCCGGGTATACCTTAAAAATGCTATACCGCCAATGTTTACGATACTTAAAACAATATTCAAGGTATTTCTTTCAATAAATAAAACCTATAAAAAAATTAAAATTCCATAAGTTTTAATGATAACTTCATAACGATTTAACAAAACATTCATCGTCAACGAATTTATTAAAATAAATATTATTAGTACTTGGTACTGATAGGCCACCCCACCCACTGATAGGTTAGAAGTCGGCGCCATAGTTCTATACAAAATTATTCATGAAAACCTCAATAGATAGGTACCTAATTTATAATTTTATGCCCATTATGATATAATCAACAAAAAAAAAACAATCAGCCGAACTTAGTACCTCCTCCTTTTTTTGAAGTCGGTAAAATTTGGAAACCAGTAGGTACATGTGTCAATGTTCCTACAATTTCGTAGTAACAAAATGAGTCCAAATTTTTACGTCACGTTACGTGATCTCGAACCATTTAATGGCAAGCAATTAGAACTTAAAAGGAGTTTTAATGTACATTTGGACTTTTATTACCCTTATAAGTTGTTTTACTATAGTTAAATAAATAAGGCTATTTGTTACAGCACTCAAATTGGATACTTTAACTAATGTAAAAGTTTAGATTAATTCTAGTTTAGTTAGCGTAATTACATTTGTGTGCAATAAAGCTTGAATGTCAAAACTTATTTTGTGTCTGTGGTTTTAAAAACTGTGATTGTTTAAACTTCACAGTCGCTAGGGGCGCTAGTGTTGCTTTATGGTATTTGAATTTAATACATAAAAAACATAACATCACGCCTTTTATCCCCGAAGGGGTAGGCAGAGGTGCACATAGAAGTAACACCCACTTTTCACTATTTATGTTATGAGTCCCATGTAATAGGGGGTGAGCCTATTGCCATATACCGGGCACATTTCCAGACTCCGTGCTACTACTGAGATTTTTAAAAAACCCCAGTAATACTTTGCCCGACCCGGGAATCGAACCCGAGACCCCTTGCCCGGCAGTCGCACTTGCGACCACTCGGCCAATGAGAGCAATAATTTTAATAATCTAATTAAATATAGGTCATAACTTCATTATTTGTTTATTAATAAAATTGGTGTTTTATTGTAGGCTTGGTCGTCCGCGAGTCACTTAAGGGGCTAGTAGAATACCAGCGCAAGGCCCTGTCTTGCACATGCTGAACTAGTCCCATTTCATCGCAGACTTTTTTTTTAAGGGGGGAAAATCATCGTATGTCTGCTCCCGCCTGGGTGAGGCGGGAGGGAGTGTTAGACTCTTACTGACTAAAAACCACCCGGTTCCTTCTCCTGCACGTCGAGCCGGAGCCCCGGTAACCCGTTCGGTTCTCCGCGACTTCATCGCAGACTTGGGACATGAATATGTACCCACTAGTATTTATAAATTAACACTATGTATGTACATACTTGTATGTATGTACATACATGTCACCTGTTTTTATAGTAGGATATGAATATTTGTTTTTCTTTTCTTATTTTACCCGAAAGGGTCAATAGTCAAGATTACAGCACTTTATATTTTCATTTATCAAATTAAACTATTCTCATAAAATCACATATTATCAATTACTAAAACCTCGCCCTCTTCAGCTGGCGACGCGTTCAAAAATAAGTTACATCTGTCCTTTAAAAATACATAAAAGTCAAGCGAAAACAGCATTTATTACTCAGTAAAGAAAGGTGGTGCAGCAAATAGCAATTAACTTAAGCCTATTAAGAGCCGAAGTGCCAGATTTTATGGTCTATTTTTGCCCACACGCTGCCATCTGCCGGTTATTTTGAACTACATGATAAAGGGAACCGTATTTGCAAAATAAAATATTAACACTTAAAAATGTGTTAAGGTAAAAATAAAAAAGGTAAATGAAAGTTACAAGCTATACTGACTAACCACATGATGTCCTGGATATGTATACCGAGTTGCGTAATTGGTTTTGACATCACACTTATTAATTAATAATTGTAATGTAATGAAAAAATGTAACAAATGACAACAACCTATAAAATGTTCCACCTTTCCTCAGCTCAGCCAGTAAAATACCGTTAAAATTTAAAAATGAAAACAGCTGATCCATTCGAGTATCATGACGTCACAAAACGATTTAAAAAAAAAGGATCAGCTGGCGCACATCAGTAATCTTAAGGGCCTGCACAGACGAGGAACTTGTATCCGCTAAAGATAGAAGTAATAATAATTTAGAATTGTAAGAAAGATTCAACAAGAATTTGAGTAAACTGCATCACGAATACTTTTCTTTGTGAGTTATTCGATATCTACACTATCATTATACAGAAGAAAGATTTGATTGTTTGCATTAAAAAGGCTCCGAAATCACTGAAGAGATCTGAAAACTCCTTTCACGAATAGCTTAAGTTTCTGGGAGTAACATATCGTTACTCTTTAGTCGACATTTCTGCATAGATAGACGAATAGTCGAGAAAAATCTTCTAAATACTTCGCGAAACTGCAGGCATTAAGCCGATCGTCTGTAAGGAACAATCTTCATTGACAAAAAAGTACCCCGCAGTCCCGCAGATAGTCCTTCGTCTGTTCCTTAAGACACATCCTTTTCTCCATACAAAACAGATGCCCCAAAGTACAAAGGTAGGCAAACATTAATCGTATACTATTATAAATTCTTTTTTCTGCCGGCAGATGTCGCGTGCACGTGCCATGCCTGATGTTCAAGCACCTGGCTTCGTTTGTAATGATAGGGGGACTACACATGCCAAATGTCAGGAATTTATCCTTATTTTTTTCCCATTTTTGAACGAATAGTTTGACCTTTCTAGAAATTGTGTCTGTTTCTTGGTGGTATTGAGAAATTTTGTTGTGGTTAAATCTGTTTAAAGATTGTAGTTTGGTGTTGGAAGATGGTCAATGAATAGGAACTTTTGGTTTATAAAAGATTATATCTACTCAAAGGAAAATTTCTATCAGATAGATTGTCGATAGATATGAATTCACAGAGACTGATGATACGAAAACTATCGACGCACATTATAGAGCACAAACTCAATAACATTTCCACAATTAAGCCTAAGAAAATAAAACCAAACAACATCGACTTTACTAGCAACACGTAACTACAACAACTAGACACAAACTTAAATAACAAAACGAATTAATATTCACTTGACACTAATGACCGTACCCAAAGAGGCATTCCGAAACAAATACGCAATTCAAATTCGTAGAATATTCGAATATTTCGCACAAGAATTCGCAGTCGGCCAAGGCTCGCATAAATATGAACGTATAGACCTATCTCTGAGGACTATAGAATAATTATGTAGAAGTACAAACTATCGTTATAAAACAAGTTTCAATGTAACACGTTGTAATGCGCAAATGCTTGGTAATTCGATGTTTTGAGCTTTGTAACAGTTACGTCTAATGTCTATGTTATTTCTCAAAGATTTCTCACCAGTGACTACATCAATACTTGAAGATTGAAGCTTGCTAAACTAAAAAAAATCGAAGTAAAACAACCAAATAATACTTTGGAAACCTGACACTGAGAAAAAATAAAAGACTAGCTACATATTAATAGTATCACAGTTTTCAATCAAAACAATAATCTTTACTACTAGAACTATAGAATTTACACAACTTTAGAAGCCGTCATCTCAAGAAACTGCTAAACATACTCAATGGGAACTAACTGCAGCAAAACATGCCCAAAGGGGTCTATCAAGACCGGGAGCAAATTGTTTCTAAATTCTAATACGCAATGCAATTTACGTCCAATACAGGTTCGATAGAGTTTAAAGTAAGTTGTTATGACACAAACCACCTACTAATATTCATGTAAGCTGTAGTTGCATTATTCGATGAGTCACCGCGCGAGATCTGAATACTATTCAACGGGCAGGTCCATAATACACTTGTCACTGCGCATTCAACTATTAATTTGATATGATCCTATTTCTGTTTGTTATTGAGTTATGAGTTTGTGATTATGTTTTGGAACATAATATGGATTCCAGGATACCAGTTTGTTTATAGGTGAATACTAGTCTAAAAGCGTGTACCTCAGGGCAAAAAGAGTGTTAGCTTCAAAACGACTTCAAAGGAAGGCAGGAACATTTTACAGCCAAATAAATTTAAGAGAGCGAAAGCAAAAGAATACAAATAAGGAAGAAGACCACAAAACCGCGAAGGTAGACCAGAAAACATGGCACCCGTTACAAAGCCACACCACACTATACCACAAAATAAAATCTTTAATAGCTATAAAGGCAAGGCATAAAGCTCGCTATCCTATTTTACAACAGGTAGTGAATGTTGGAGCGAAACAGGATTTTGCATGGATTCGTCGATTCAACTCCGGCGCACGTTCCCACGGTCCGCTAAACGTACATACATACATACGTGTTTAATTGTAGAGATTTTTATAACACACCCGTTGGATTGTCGTTTTTACTTCATAATAACGTGGTCGGAGAAAGAATTGTTTTGATTTGTTCAATACAGGTGCGATCATTGCAAAGGTAGATTGTAACCTACTGCTTGAGGCATTTGCATAACCTGTTTTAGTTAGCATTAGATGATATTCTAATAGGGCTGGCCACTGTTTCCTTAACTAATGTTAAGATAATTATCTTATTAGGATACAATGCTTAGACAAGGTTGTTCTGTTCTTTCACTAATATATAAATCTAACCATGTTTTAACTTCAATACTGTGTTTGGGTATTTATATTCCGAGAAAGGATCTGATGGTAAATATTCCGATAGTGAAATTTGAGCATGAAACTAAACTTGCTTCTATGTTCTACCTAGCTCTTAACATGTTTATTTTATTAGCAGTCCTTTATGAAGCATAACAAACGCCGCTTCCTGGAATCGTGCTTTTACAAAACAGTAAATGTGGCATGTGACAACACATTGAGTACTATGCAAATAGGAATAACACGCCGGGCCCAAGTTACATGGACAGAAACTTAAA